TATACATAAGTGTACTTCAGGAAAAATGTTTCAGAGGAAGCTGAAACTCACACACACATACACACCACAATTTTGGAAATAGTAAAAAGTAACTAACTCCATTAATGCTTTATTCCAGTGTTAAATGATTAATAACACTTAAACATCATATTTCTCAAATTGGAAAAATAAAACTCATTAGGCATTTCTTCTTCAGAGAATGTTAAAGTACCTTACACTGTTGAATCTCTGAGAAGATAATCTGAGTAAACTATCAATTAGGAAGCTAGTAGAGTAAGTAAAACACCTTTTACACAAGGTCCTACGGGAGACTCACCAAGGGAAGTCTAGGAGGAGGTAGTTTTAGAGGTTTTATAAACTGGATTATTTAAAGCTAAAAGTTGATTGAAATCAGACAAAATTTAAACTTACTAGTTTAGGAGTAGTAAAAGCAATGAAGTGACATTACAAAGTAAGTTTTTTTGCTGTTTTTGTTGATGGCTTTGTTTGTGTGTTTGTTTTGAGAAAGATTTTTTTGCTATAGGGTACATGCACTTGCCGGAAAGACAGAGAAAGATGAAGAGAATGAAGACAGAAAACAAGAAATCCCCCTCCCACCCCACCCCCACTCCCCATCCCCCAGAGGGATAGTCAAGCCACAATCCTTTCTCTTCCATTTTCTTTTCAGGATCTTGGGCACACATGCATATACTCCAGGCATGAGTTTCAAACCACTGTGTTTGGAACGCAAATTGAGGTCAGCCACATGATAGCCCAGTACCTTAATCACAGAGCCACCTGCTGTCCTGTAAAGTACGTCTTTAAAAGTAAAATGTGGTATGATAATTGAGCTATTTGCCCTTGTAAACATGTTTTGATCTCTACTAATATAGTTTGAAAGATCCACTCTCCTCTTTCTGCAAAAAGAAAATACCAACACAAACAGGAACTATTATTTTACGTATTATCTTCTTGGGCAATATGTCCCAAAACAATTATTTATTCATGATGACCTAGATGATCTTTTTACTTGGTCTTATTAGTTAAAATATGTAAATATAGGAGTTCTTTCTTTTGTGTCAAGTATTTTCAACATCATAAATCTTTCAGGCGTTTTATATTTTGGGGGCTGTAATAAAAAAATAGAACTTTGATTAAAAGCATATGAAAACTCAAGCTCAACATTCCTCATCATGAAAGAGATACAGATCATAACCACAATGAGATACCACCCAACCCCCTTCAGAAGGGTAAAGATTAAAACAAACAAAAAAAAGGTGTTGGTGGGGCTTTGCTGAAAGGGAACTCTTCTACACTGATGATGGAAATGTAAATAGGTCCAGTCACTGTGGAGAACAATAATGGAGGTTCCTCAAAGACATACAAATAGAACTACCACATGATTTAGCAATTACACACCTGGGTATCTATCTAAAGGATAGGAGAACACTCAGTCAGAAAAATGTTTGCACATTCATGTTTATTGTGGGATTATTCACAATCACTATGACATGGAACCAGCCTGAATCTCTGTGAACAGATGAATGGACTGAGAAAATGTGGCATATATACTGTATGGACTACTACTGAGTCATAAAGTATAAGACTCTAGCCTTTGATAGAAAGTGGATGAATATGAAAGATTTACTGGTGAGTGAAGCAAACCAGGCTATGAAAGAGAAACATTGTATGTCTCCACTTACATATATATATGCATATATATAGTAAAACATTAGAGGATATAGAAGCATGGAAAATGGTTATGAAAACTGAAGACAGTGTAGAAAGGTGGGAAGGTGGGAAGAAGGTGAGAGAAGGGAGAGATTGTGAGAAAATAAATCATGGAGAAAAATAGAGAGGCAAGATATTTTTGGGATACAGAAATGCATGATTACCTGTTGATAATGTGTATAGTATCTTCAACGGGACTGGTGGGAAGTGTATTCATGTTGGGTAAATTCACTTAACAAATTAAGTAGTCTATAGTGATTAAATGTATAAAGTAAATTAGAGTAAAATTTTAAAATATTAAATTAAAAAGAGAACTTTAAAATGTAAAGCAGTTAGAAGGATAAGGTATCATTAATGTGAATTAGGAGACCATTAATTTGTAATGAATACTCAGATAAATTCAGCACTTTTAGTGACTAATAAAAAGGATTTTCTTACACATACACACACATGCACCCGTAGTACCACTTGTATAAGTTCCCTGCTACCTCGAATGTCAAAAAAAGTGTTAAGTCCTAGGAGATTTTTTTTTTTTTGGAGAGGTTTTTTTGCTATATGGTGTGTGCGCTCACCAGACAGTAAGAAAAAGAGACAGAGAGACAGAAAGTGAGAAATCACCCTCCATTCTCCTCTCGGGATCTTGGGCACACATGCACATGTGCCCCGTGTGAGTTTAAGCCACCGGGTCTGGGACTTGAATTGCGGTTGACTACACGGGAGTCCAGTGACATAGCCATTACGCTAACTGCTGGTCCCCAGTCCTAGGAGATTTTTTAATTAAATGGTAAAATAATATCTTAATCAACAATTATTTTAATAATAATCCTCATCTTCATAAATTAAAACAAATGGCAATTTGGAAACTAACCCAGATATTTAATTTAAAATTGGAAGCCATTGAGGAATATACAAAGTTTAGTGATACTAGAAATTTTTTTATTATAAACAAGGAATGTTTAGGATTTTATAATTTCAGAGGCAGATTGGTGATAGAAATAGTTGGACTCAAAGCTAATTTTGTGTTCTCTTTTAACTTATTTCCTCCTGCTGCTATTGCTACTCTTTGAACATAATGATACAAGCACAGAACACTACAATAAAAAAGATTTTCCATTGTGTATTTGAAGCAGTAGGCAACTGAGTAATGACTCAGAGCTATTAACTGTCTCTGGCATTTTTCAAGATCCATAGCTATTTCTGCATTTCTTATACACTCTGTGATCCAACTAGATCCTGTGGTCATAAGATTTGCAGGGAAATAGCATAATGAAAGTATTATCATACTGGCATAATTCAAGGTTTATTCTCTCAGTGTATTCTGATCACCTAATTTTATTTAACAAGAATTGGCTGTGCTCAATAAAGCTTTCCAAAATCTAGTGACAGGAGTTTATCACCTCTGTCCACCATATCCTAACCTTCAAATATCTCACCCTAGTTTACTTATAAAATAGTTTTTATATATAGACTTGTTAATGTGTGCACGAAACTGTGTATCTATGGTCTGAGATGTTTCGATTTGTTTCTTCAAGTTTCTTCTTTCCTGGTCTCACCTTGCTGCTCCTTCTACTCTCTCCTGAATTTCTTTTTTTCTTGTTACTACTATAACATAGCCATTATGCTTTGAGAAAAAGGTTGTCATTCAAAGTATGTTGAAACCTACAGGCCTACAATTTAAAATGTAATTTGGAATCCATATTTTATGCACAGATATGTACCATAAAAGGAATTCCAAAAAAAATAAAGTGACTGGGCCCTCAGGTGGCGTGGTGGTTCGAGTGCCGGACCTGGTAGCTTGCTTTCCCACTTTCTCTCTCTCTCTCTCACTCTTACTTTGTCCTTCTCTGGTCAAATTAAAATAAGTAAATAAATAAAGACAAATAAAATAATTCTTAAAAAATAATTGTGACTATAAACATCTCAGGCTGGGCTGTAAGCACATTGGGTGCTGAATCTAGAGCTGTTATTATTATTTTTTCATTTAAGAGAATTTTTTGCTATACGGTGGGTGCACTCCCCAGAAAGAGAGACAGAAAATGAGAATTCTCCCTCCAAGGGGATGACCACGCCATAATCACTTCTCCATTCTCCTCTTGAGATTATGGGCATGCCCTCATATGTATTCAGCATGAGTTTTAAACCACCAGAATGGGAGTTGAACTGTAATCGACTACGTGGGAGTCCAGTCATGTAACTATTATTCCATCTGCTGCTCCCCTGGAGCCGCTATTGAGACAGAGGTAGTAGAAATTTCCCGCCTGGGAGAGGACCACAGCTTCTTTAGATACTGGAACAGTTCTCAGGCTGCAACATTTTTCTGAGTTCATTTCTGATCTCTACTCTACACCAGTCTGAAAATTCGCTAACACTTTAGTAATAATAATTATTCTTATGTGAAAATAGTATTAAGGAATAATGGCACGTTTGCCTAAAATGTTGAAATACGTGAGTCAAAAATATCTTTGCTTCCTCAAGGGTAATTTTTATTTACTTTTTAGCAGCTTTCTCCATTCCTCCAGGATATGGTTAAAAGTATATAAATCTCTGACACTCACAGTAAACTACTGATTTTCCCAAGTGTTTGAAAAAATAAGTCGGGAACAGAGAAGCATGATGGAAGGGCACAAAGGCTAATCCAGTTTTTCTTTCTTTTTTTTTTTTTTTTGTTTTCTTTTCCTGTCGAACTTTGAGCAAAACTAGATCAAGCCTAGGTTTTTTTTTTCCCCACTTGACTAAAGTTAACAACATAAGGATGAATCTGAATTACTCTTTGTAATCAACATGTATGATTACTACCAGCTGGAAAGGTAATCAATACCAGGCAAGATGAGATCATAGTCAGCAGAGAACTTTTCACCTCAGCTACTTTTTAAGATCTTTGAGTTAAAGATGACTCTTGGGAGACTGAAATGAAAAAGAAAAGAAAGTGAAAGAGAAGGAGAAGGTCACTGGCCTCAATTTCTTCCATTAATTTGCTTACCGTAAAAAGAAAAAAAAAAAGTAAAACATGACTGACAAATGTTATTTGTGACTGCTTTAGATCTTGTTCTTGTTATGTTGCTTTGTTTTAGTTTGCCCCAGTGTCATGGTTTTTATGTGACTATTAGTTGAACATTTGCACACTAAAAACCTTGGATCATAGAATTTTAATTAACATTGCCAGGGTGCTTCTGTTGCTTGCTATTTTATATTTATTGAGGATTAAAAAAATTAAAAAAGAAGATCAACACAGTGATCTGTAAAGACCTGCTCTAAGTTGGACTACAATTATTTCTTTTGGTTTATTACAGGCATTTGAAGTTTACTCCTCTTTTATGAAGATCCAGACTTCTGAAAATAATTCATCTGGAAAATAGGTTATGGAACAATCTGTTACAAACTGAATTTCATGACAGAAATCAACACATCGTGTTCAATTTATTTGATAGGCTTAGCACTTTAAAATATATGAAGTAGCTGTGATTACAATAATGGATCTAAATGCTTATAAAGGAAAGATACGTTAGCAGGCACTTTAACAGCATTAGCAATGATTCAGCACTGCTTAAATATTAAGTCTTAGCGAAAACTTAGAACAAGCTGAGTGACCTGTTGAATCATGGAAAAGTGCAAAAGTCCTAAGATGACATTATTAAAATCCTAAAAACAGCATTTATTTAAATGTCTACATTTTTTTCCCTCTGATTTATCCAAGCCTCTGAGGGGAAAAACATTGTTCATCTACCGTGTTCATTTAGTACTATCAGTCATGCATTTGAAGTTATGGAAGAAGTCAGCATAATTGAAGTGAATTTTGTCTTCTCTTCTCTCATGTTTTATGAACCCTGAAACTGTCCTGTCATTGGCGGTTCATTCTCACATCTCAGACTCTGCTTTTCAGCAGATGAATGAAGTACTACTGAGAAAATCGCAGTTGCATCCCTGAGTCTCTGTATGAAGCTAAATATTCCCAAATCAGAGAAGACAGAGGAGAATAACATCATGCACTGATAATCACCACAAAAATATGACCTTAAAATAATTATTTTTAAAAAGTTTATATATATAGTATTTATATATATAAATATTTATATATATATAAATACTATCTCTACAACATACATTCTATCATGCCTATTTTAAAAAGATGACAAATTAAATTTAACAAGTGGAGTGTCATACATGACACCTGCAATTTTATTTTGGAGACCCAGGTTCAGTATACAAACACACACCTGTAGGGCACACAAGATTATGCTATTTCTGCTAATTGGCCAAAAACGACTTTTAAAAAAACCTACCTAATTGAAGGTAATTTTTATTGTTAGCTATAGTTTGGAAAATAGTTTGTGATTCTCACCTTTCCTTGTTTTGAAGTGCATTTTTTTTTTCTCTTGACAATACTTTATTGATCTTTCCTCTGTCTCACACAAATGGATTCTCATTGACACTTGGATAACATGACATATCATAAATGCTTGTGTAAGGTACCCTGAAGTCACTCCCACACTCACACAAAACATAAATATACAGAAATAAAGTACGCTTACAGGTATATAACTTTCCATATTGAGTGTGATTTTTTTCCATAATAGCTCTGGGACCTGGAGATTTCTAGTCCATGATGTCATAATACCTAAATAGATTGTACTTGAATATTAGTGCACCTGAATATAATAGTTTATATCATTTTGAACATTTCTAATTTATTTAAAATATTTAAAATATTTCAAAGACACAACATGAGAAATTTTTTATGGTTTCCTAAGAACACTAATTTCTCAAGTGATATTTCAAATAGTAACATATAAAAACACATTTTAGAGCATTGTATTTTATGCACAAGAGGCATATCTTTATTTTAAATCCTCCAAAGTGAGACAAGGCCAAGGACAAGGCCCCTGTAATACATATATAATATACAAAATAATTCTTTGTTTTACTAAGTTTCAAAATATTTGAAGAGACTTTTATCATGTCCAACAGGGACTTACTTTATGTATTTACACATCTTCTCTTTTCCCCACTTCCTACCTCGATCTGTTCAAGGACGCAAATAAACTTCACATTACGATAGTATCATGGGCATTTTAACTTTCTGTATTCATGTTCCCTTTTCAATGAATCCTGTCACGAACTGGACTACACAATTTTTCCTAACATTCTAAGTATAATTCATTACACTCCTGTGATTTCTTTATAACACTTTTTTTCCTTGATTTGCAGGAAACTCTTCGAAAGTAGACCATCAATCACTGAGCATGTACATGAAATGACCTTCATGTCTGTTTTTTGTTCTACATAATTTCCCTCTCCTTGGACAAATTCTTTAAGGTAGTATTATTTTTTTCAGCTTCTTCATCCAGGTTTTTGCTATAAAATTGTAATTGTAGATAGAACAGTATAAATGTATTCTTTGTATGTAGTATATATACATACATATGGTGTGCACTTATACATGTGTCTAATGTACATGAATTTATATTACCATCATGTATGTATTGTTATTTTCTTATTTTTATTTTCTAGGTGAACAGATAAAAAGATGATGAATGCATCATATAATAAATAGAAAATATCTGTGTGTATGTGGTTCTCTTCTGAATGCTTTTGTTGTTTTGAATACCTAAGTACTTGAATACATAGTGACTCCTTAATTACTTTAAATAGTAATTTTACAAACAGGTTTATAAACGATGACAAGTGATCAGTAAATAATGCTGGATTTGTTATTATTACTTAAAAATGTTTTCAAAACCTGAGGAATAAACTTCTGAGTATAGACTGCACCTACAGTTGGAGACACCCATTACCATTAATAGAATTAATTATAATAATTATAATGAGATTATTAACTGGCCATTAGTTAGTTTAGGCCAGATTATTCTATGGAAACCAACATTCCTAAATCCTGGTGGATAAGCACAGCAGTTTTAGCACTCACTCTTTTTATAAGTTTACCATGTCTTTGTAAATTATTCTACTCCACATAGTCACAGACAGCGTCTGAGGGAGACCTACCACCATGGAGTGGAAGCATCTGGGCAGCCTGCCTGTTTCATTACCGCAGATGCTGATGAGCACTACAGAGTCTGAAACTGTCAATTAAATGCTTTGACACAGGTCGTGTCTACCATCCCTCCATCATAACAATAGCTCTTATGTCTACCGATGAGGAATTGTCACATGACACTACCCAGTCTCCAGATGGACAAGAAGCCAAGACAAGGAGAGCATCATCAGAGACTTGTTTGAGCTGTAATGTCATTCTGTCACATACATTCACATATGATCGCTCAGGAAGCTTTAGTAAAATTTCAAACATGTGACACATTGTTTTAGGATAATATTTTAACTTTAAACACTGATGATATGCACAGGATTTCTTAACAGTCAAATGATTTGATAAAACTTCTATTCATTATCTGCCTATTTTTTATTATTAGAATTAGTAATTATGGTTTTAATTTCTAACTATAAATTGACTCATTTGTTGATAATGGTATATCTTGGAAAATTATATTTGACATCTCAGACTATAGTTTTTCATCTTTCTAAATATTTTAAAATGAGGAAATTAATATTTGTAAATTTTTTCTTTTTATGAAGAGATTTTTTTAAAAACATAATTACTTATTTATTTTTATTATTATTTAATTTGACCAGAGAGAGACAGAGAAAGTGAGAAGCAAGCTGCCATGTCTGGGACTTAAACAATCGTCTCCCATGTGGGAGTCCAGCTTCCCAACCACCATACCACCTGCTGGTCCCCAGGAAGGGAGATTTGTCTATCAGGCACAAGAGCTCACCCGGAGACACAGAGATACAGAGACATAGAAAGGGATAAATCACCTCCTAGAAGAGATGGTCATGCCACAATCCCTTCTTCTCCAATATTTTAAATAACATTTTCTGACTCGTGTTCTTGTCAGAAATACAGATAGAGCCAGTGAGAGGGATGGTGGGAAACTGCAATCCCTTCTCCTCCATTCTCCCCTCAGAATTTGGACAGGCACACACATGTAACCCATATGATTTTCAAGCTACCAGGTCTAGAACTCAAATCATGGTTGGCCATATGGGAGTCCAGTAACCAC